TCGTCGTCCCTTCACCTTCTAGTGTGTAATTACCTAAGTGTAATTACCCAAGTCTAGTTACAGGATGAGAGCTACGCTCGTGGTGTCCCGTCTCCCCAGCACTCTTTGTCATATAACGCTTTGAAATTACTGATGGTTTTGGCCTCCACCACCGTGTAATTACCTAAGTGTAGTTACAGGATGAGAGCTACGCTCGTGGTATCCCGTCTTCCCAGCACTCTTTGTCATATAACGCTTTGAAACTACTGACGGTCTTGGCCTCCACCACCTTCTCACTTAACTTGCTCCAACCGTCTACCACTCTATTTGCGAAGGTGAATTTTCTTATATTTCTTCGGCATCTGTGTTTAGCTAGTTTAAATCTATGACCTCTTGTTCTTGAAGTTCCAGGTCTCGGGAAATCTTCCCTGTCTATTTTATCAATTCCTGTTACTATTTTGTACGTAGTGATCATATCACCTCTTTTTCTTCTGTCTTCTAGTTTTGGCATATTTAATGCTTCTAACCTCTCCTCGTAGCTCTTGTCCTTCATTTCTGGGAGCCACTTAGTAGCATGTCTTTGCACCTTTTCCAGTTTGTTGATGTGCTTCTTAAGATATGGGCACCACACAACAGCTGCATATTCTAGCTTTGGCCTAACAAAAGTCATGAACAATTTCTTTAGTATATCGCCATCCATGTATTTAAAAGCAATTCTGAAGTTAGAAAGCATAGCATAGGCTCCTTGCACAATATTCTTTATGAGGTCCTCAGGTGATAGTTTTCTATCTAGAACCACCCCTAGATCTCTTTCTTTATCAGAATTCTTTAAAGATTTCTCACATAATATATAGGTTGTGTGGGGTCTATGTTCTCCTATTCCACATTCCATAACATGACATTTATTAACATTAAATTCCATTTGCCAAGTGGTGCTCCATATACTTACTTTGTCCAGGTCTTCTTGAAGGGCATGACAATCATCTAAGTTTCTTATCCTTCCTATTATCTTAGCATCATCAGCAAACATGTTCATATAATTCTGTATACCAACTGGTAGATCATTTATGTACACAATAAACATCACTGGTGCAAGAACTGAACCCTGTGATACTCCACTTGTGACATTTTTCCATTCCGATACATTGCCTCTGATTACTGCCCTCATTTTTCTATCAGTCAGAAAATTTTTCATCCATGTTAGAAGCTTACCTGTCACCCCTCCAATATTTTCCAGTTTCCAGAACAACCTCTTATGTGGAACTCTGTCGAAAGCCTTTTTTTAGGTCCAGATATATGCAGTCAACCCAACCATCTCTTTCCTGTAATATCTCTGTGGCTCGATCATAGAAACTGAGTAAATTCGATACACAGGATCTTCCAGATCGAAAACCATACTGTCTGTCTGATATTATATCATTTCTCTCCAGGTGTTCTACCCATTTAGTTTTGATTATTTTTTCCAATACTTTCACTATTACCAGTGTGGTCTGGTCAACATGCTTGCTCTTGATTCCATCTTTCAATCTGAGTATTACTTATCCATCCCCCGTAAGCTCATGATCGACCTTCTACAGGATGCAACACTAACAGTCGCTAACTCTTAGATATCTATCTACTGTTAGGTGAACAGCGACACCAGGAGTAAGGAAATGGGATCTAGATGTCTCACTCTGTTCAGGAATCTAGCTTGGGGCCCAATTGGTTGCGAGCCAACTGCACTTACTACCGTGTCACAGGTTAAGCTTTCCAGTTTATCAGTGTGCTTAAACACACAAGTAACCAGATACAGTTTTGGCAATTTTAACACAATAATAATGTTGTATATTTATATAAAATACATTAGGCATATTGGATGTTCATAAATACACTTGTAATGTGAATTACAAGTATAATGTGAGTAAATCCGTGCAGTCTCCGTGGTGTAGTGGTAAGACACTCGCCTGGCGTTCCGCGAGCGCTATGTCATGGGTTCGTATCCTGGCCGGGGAGGATTTACTGGGCGCAATTCCTTAACTGTAGCCTCTGTTTAACGCAACAGTAAAATGTGTACTTGGATGAAAAAACGATTCTTCGCGGCAGGGGATCGTATTCCAGGGACCATAGGATTAAGGACTTGCCCGAAACGCTACGCGTACTAGTGGCTGTACAAGAATGTAACAACTCTTGTATATATCTGAAAAAAAAAAAAAAAAAAAAAAAAAAAAATGCAAAGCCCCTAACACGCATTAGCATTTCGGGCAGAGACATTGAACCTAACCACAATAAACCTAACGTTAACCACAAACATTGGGAATATAGATCAATAGTCACGTCTACAAATGGTGAATTTTTACCCATGATAGACAATAAAATATATTTAACTACAAAAATAAAAAAAACTATCGCACAAATTGCATTTGTGGGTTTTCCATTATTTTTAAAAGTATCAATCTGTAATTTTGGGGTAACCACTGTCAATTTTAATAGCCCAAGTAGGTGGCTGTAACAAGATATAGTCAACCAATACAAAAATTTGATGAAGCTTCCTGTTGAAATCTGCATTTTATTTATATTATAGTAGTAGGCATCCATCAGGCTGCGAGCAGCCGCGTCCAACAGCCTGGTTGATCAGTCCGGCAACCAGGAGGCCTGGTCGACGACCGGGCCGCGGGGACGCTAAGCCCCGCAAGCACCTCAAGGTAACCTCAAGGTAGTAGTAGGCATCCATCAGGCTCAGGAGACTATGGAGTTGCGCAGTGGCGTCGGCCTGGTCTGCAGTGGCCTCACCAGGACGCAAAGCCAGGGCAGGTTGATTCGGGGAAGAAGCTGTTACCCAGGCAGCAGGTCCCCCCCCCTCTCCACGGTGCTGAAAGTCTCCAATGGAAAGGCATATGCCAATACGATTGGTTCCAGTTCCCATATGTATATGTATATATATATATACATATACATACATACGGGTTCCAGACAGAGATCATCACAGCCCCCTTTCACCCGAGGTCAGTTTCCTTCAAGACCAAGTAGAAGAGGGATAATAATTATAATAATAATTGTTGTATTTAATAATTATCACTCTTCCTTCTGCTTGGACTTGAAGGAAGCCGGCCTCGGGTGAAAGAGCGCTCTGACGATCTGTCTGGAAATCATAGGTGCGGGACTTTTTTTTATTATTATTATTATTTTCTACCACAGACGTGGCCAGACATTTACAATGCTCACCAGCATATATACATTTTCTTCTGTCCTCCATGGACAGGGTTAGAGATGTGTTAAACATATAGTTCAGGGATTTATTGAACAAACTACCACAGTAGGTGATTCGGTGCTTTTAAAATGCTAAGCTAACGTACATACGTAAATACATAGATACACAGATTTACGTATGCTCTACATAGTGTTCGATATGTCTTTTACATAGTGTCATTAATGTGCATTTACAAAGGTGAAATGTAATTCTGATCAGCTTCCATATATATATACTTAATACACATACATATACATACACACACACATATACGTACATATACATATATTACATACATATATACACACACGCATGCATTCACATACATTTGTCTCTTTTACCCTGACAGGGTGAGATAGCTGATGGAGAAACTAGTGTGCAATTAAGCGGGACTGGGACCTTTAAGGTGACTGGGAAGTCCACCTCCTGGGGCTCGTGCGGCCCCAGGCTCTGCTTCAGGAGGCTGGGGGCGTTCTTGCCCTTGCTGGGGTGGTTCTTCTCTGGCTCCGACCATGGCGGTCTCCGGGTTTGGAGTCCCTGTGCCTTCTTTCACCAACTTCGAGGTTAACTCCTGACCTGACAGTGCCTGCAATGATGCTGGAACCAATCGTATTGGTGTTTGCCTTTCCACTGGAGACTTTCGGTGCCAGACAGAGGGGGGGGGGGGGGACCTGCTGCTTAGGTGACAGCTTCTCCATATCAACCTACCCTGGCTTTGTGGTCTGGAGAGGCCACTCCAGACCACCAATTCCACAGTCTCCTGAGACTGATGGATGCCTACTACTACATACATACAAACATACATATACATGTACACAATTTTATATATATATATATATATATATATATATATATATATATATATATGTCGTACCTAATAGCCAGAACGCACTTCTCAGCCTACTATGCAAGGCCCGATTTGCTTAATAAGCCAAGTTTTCATGAATTAATTATTTTTCGACTACCTAACCTACCTAACCTAACCTAACCTAACTTTTTCGGCTACCTAACCAAACCTAACCTATAAAGATAGGTTAGGTTAGGTAGGGTTGGTTAGGTTCGGTCATATATTTACGTTAATTTTAACTCCAATAAAAAAAAAATGACCTCATACATAATGAAATGGGTAGCTTTATCATTTCATAAGAAAAAAATTAGAAAAAATATATTAATTCCGGAAAACTTGGCTTATTAGGCAAATCGGGCCTTGAATAGTAGGCCAAAAAGTGAGTTCTGGCTACTAGGTATGACATATATATATATATATATTTATTAGATTTTACATTCTTGTACAGCCACTAGCACGCATAGCATTTCAGGTAGGTCGTTAAAACTTAATTTTCCCTGGAATACGGCCCACCAAATCGTTTAACAACCAGGTACCCATTCACTGCTGGGTGAACAGAGGCTACAGTTAACGATTGGTACCTGGTCAATCCTCCTCAGCCAGGATACGAACCCAGGCAAAATAGCTCGTGAAACGCCGGTCGAATGTCTTACCACTGTTGGTGTGCCGAAGCATATATATGGTTAGGTTAGGATGCATTCGCTTAGGCACAGTTAGACAGGGACTTTGTTTGGTTAATTGTAAGGTTAAGCAGATTTGAAAAATTAAACAGTATTATACCTGACGAGATGTATATCCAGCTGTAGCGAGGTGCACATAAAAGACTAACCAACTAATTATGCCAACTAAATGATAAATCCTATAGACATAAAAATCCTATAGAGTGTAGGTGTCTAAATGGTAAATCCTATAGACATATATGGTTAAGTTGGGCTGGGAACGGCTCACCTGCGTCTCGTCCTCGTTGACACATATACACGCTGCCCGCTTAACAAATCCGTCTTCATCGTAGTTACGCGCTTTCACCATTTCGGTCATAATACACAGGTCTCGGAGAGCGATCCGGCGATGATGACGGTGACGACAATGATGATGATGGTCGGTGATGGTGACGGCGGCCTAGACTAGGTGCCCGTGGAGTCGTGGAGACATGATGGTGATGCTTGCTGGGAGACGGGCGGAGGTGAGGTGAGGGGGGTAGGGGGGGGAGGAGGAGTAGGGAGAGGTAGCCCAGAGAGGATGAGAGAAAGCGAAAACAGACGAGTTGTAAGATAAAGTGGGGGAAAAAAACGTCAAAAACGAAGCAGAAAGGAAGAAAAAAAAAAGTGTCAAGAGAGAGACAGAGAGAACCGAAGTATTTAAAAAATGGAGAGGAAAATAAGTGTTTCCGAACCAACCGGCTCGGGCAGGGGTTTAGCGGAGAGGGAAGCGTGGCCCGACCATGGCAGCAATCTCTATCCCCTATGGCGGGAGAGACAGACAGGCATCAAGAGAATGCGGGCAGGTCCACCTATGAGGTGGAGAGGGAGATGAGAGATGGGGAGGTGGAGGGGGACCCACACACACACACACACACACGAGACAGAGAGAGAGAGAGAGAGAGAGCCTTCCACACCTCAATTTACGGGGGGGAACAAGAGCGGCGAACCTCCCCCTCGAGCGTTATATTATAACTCTCCCCCAAACACAACACTCCGCGGCCGCTGCCCCTCGCCCTACTTGTAGTTCAGATATATAAGTAAGCCGTCAGTCCTACTGCAGTAGCGTGTCACAGCCATGGCTTCACGTGAGGGAGGAGGCAGGAGACGCGGTCAGGGAAGGGGCGTGAGAGAGCGGGAGATATAAACTATCCACCACTAAAGATACTTGTCTCGCCTCCGCTCGACGGCGATGGCTGACGGCCGCCCAGCTGGGAGTCGGGTCCAAAATGCCGCGAAAGACGCACTGTTCTACGTCATCTCTAGCCTCTAGACGTATCTATTCTACCCTAACCTGACTTAATTGTGCCTAACTTGGCCCTATTCTAACTTGTCCTAACGTTGTCTAGCCTGCTAAAAATAAAACACAAATTTATATAATTTTATTTATACCGAGTGTGAAGAGCGTGACGTCACTGTGACGTCATGAGCTTGACTTTTGGGATTATTTTGGACCCTTGTGCCAGCTGGTTCCCAGCGATCGTTACCTTCCTCCCCTTCACTCTCTGGGAAATATATCTCTGCTCGTTTGTTTACACAACTATTTTCCCTATTTACGGCTCTAACTCTCCATTAAATACGCTTCTCTATACTCCGTCTCTTATATAATCACAAGATATCCAAGGTAATATATTAATCAATGCAAATCTCTTTTGTTTTCATTGTTTTCTCCATGTCGAATTTTGTTTGGTCTAATTTAGAGTTATATATATGCATGTTTTCCACCCCCGTGTTTATATATCATAGTGTATTTATTGCGCTTTTTAATTAGTTTCGCTTCAATATATAAATTATTTAGGGTTTTAAAATATCCAAAATATTTGGCAAGACGTACACAAATAGTTTAATTTCCTTGGTAACTGATGGGACTCCGGACCCACCAACCAACACATGTGCATTCATTATTGACAACACGAGAGTAAATATTTACCCTAATTGACTAGTTATACTCTGTCTTGCTCAACTTCAAGTTATGAAAAACATCTAAAAATTCAACCAGTTAAAAAAATATTAGCTCTCGTTGAATAAACACTGTAAAAAAAAGAACTTATTAAACCCCCCCCCCCCCGTTCCCTTCCTTATTTAGATTTTATCCAGCTTATCCAGATTTTAAGTACCCGGGACCCCAGTGTCAACCCAGCCCGCTGGAGGCAGAATGCAGTTCCCTGGAGACAAAACGCAGCTCGCTGGAGGAAGAACGCAGTTCCCTGGAGGCAGAACGCAGCTCGCTGGAGGAAGAACGCAGTTCCCTGGAGGCAGAACGCAGCTCGCTGGAGGAAGAACGCAGTTCCCTGGAGGCAGAACGCAGCTCGCTGGAGGAAGAACGCAGTTCCCTGGAGGCAGAACGCAGCTCGCTGGAGGAAGAACGCAGTTCCCTGGAGGCAGAACGCAGCTCGCTGGAAATAATAGGAAATGACATTGCAGACGAAGCTGCAAAACTTGCAACTAAGAGAAGAAATGAAGACATTTACCATACCATTTTTATCTTATTATTATTATTATTATTATTATTATTATTATTATTATACCACAGAGTCTATCACAGATTAAGAAAGTAATTAGAAACAGAGCAATGGAAAAGATGTACAGTGACCACAACACAGCAGTTGCAACATCAGGATCTGCGGGTTGGTACAAGAATTCAACCAACTACGAACCACTTAGTTTGATGAAAGGGGGCAGTAGAGCAGCAGAAGTACACGAAGTACACTTACATCGCATCAGGCGGGGATACCCATGTGCATGGGAGATAGGCTTACAGGTTCCGGAAGATGAGAGGAAATGTCAACACTGTGGAGAAATGCCCGACAGACCACTGGAACATTATCTAACACAGTGCACAGTTACAGCCACAACAGACCACTGGAACATTATCTAACACAGTGCACAGTTACAGCCACAACAGACCACTGGAACATTATCTAACACAGTGCACAGTTACAGCCACAACAGACCACTGGAACATTATCTAACACAGTGCACAGTTACAGCCACAACAGACCACTGGAACATTATCTAACACAGTGCACAGTTACAGCCACAACAGACCACTGGAACATTATCTAACACAGTACACAGTTACAGCCACAACAGACCACTGGAACATTATCTAACACAGTGCACAGTTACAGCCACAACAGACCACTGGAACATTATCTAACACAGTGCACAGTTACAGTCACAACAGACCACTGGAACATTATCTAACACAGTGAACAGTTACAGCCACAACAGACCACTGGAACATTATCTAACACAGTGCACAGTTACAGTCACAACAGACCACTGGAACATTATCTAACACAGTGCACAGTTACAGCCACAACAGACCACTGGAACATTATCTAACACAGTGCACAGTTACAACCACAACAGACCACTGGAACATTATCTAACACAGTACACAGTTACAAACCCATTAAGATTTCAACTTAGATTCAACAGAGCAGAAGAAGTTGTTAAACACATGGGACAAAATCTTACTGAAGCGACCATACGAGTCATAAACACTCATACTCCGCCCAAGTAAAACAGAAACAAGCAACACTTAGTGGGCCAGCCAGAGGCTTAGGGCCCGCCCAGTGGGCCACCCAGTGGGCCACCCAGAGGCTTAATAGGGCCCGCCCAGTGGGCCAGCCAGAGGCTTAGTGCCCGCCCAATGGGCCACCCAGAGGCTTAGGGCCCGCCCAGTGGGCCAGCCAGAGGCTTAGGGCCCGCCCAGTGGGCCAGCCAGAGGCTTAGGGCCCGCCCAGTGGGCCAGCCAGAGGCTTAGGGCCCGCGCAGGAATATCGCTGCAAAAAAAAAAAAAAAAGCTCGCTGGAGGCAGAACGCAGCTCCCTGGAGGCAGAACGCAGCTCCCTGGAGGAAGAACGCAGCTCCCTGGAGGAAGAACGCAGCTCGCAAGTTGCACAAATTTTCTGCCCATGACGCTATGCATATGTAAGTGGCGTTGCAAGAATGTAATAAACATCAGTACTATGTAGTAGGCATCCATCAGTCTCTGGAGACTATGGATGAGAAAAAAACGAGAATACTATGTACTCTCATTTTATTTTGCACTTCTTATATTGCTGCAGCGCCGTCACCAAGTGGTCCTGTGTTATGGGTGAGAGAGGCACGTGGTGGTGCCGTCGGTGGAAGGCTGCGTCGGTCTCTTCCTCGTGTTTTGGGTCATGTTGACCCTTGCAGTATGTTGCCACATACTCCCTGTGCAGTTGACTTGCCGCTCTCTGCACTATGTTCTTTAGGTCAGAGCCGGTGAAATTCTTGGTGGCTTTAGCAATGGAGTCTAAGTCCACGCCGGCGTCAACGTGTTGCTTGCAGAGATGATGGTGCAAGATTTTCTTCCGGGTTGCTTGATCCGGCTTGTCGACATGCAGCGTGAGGGGAAACCGGCGGAGAATGGCCGGGTCGATGTTCGAGGTCGTGTTTGTGGCGGCAATTACGATGATTAGGATGTCTGACTCCTCGGCGACCTTGTTTGTGGCCAGAAGAAAGGTGGCCAAAATGCCGCTGTCCAGACCGCGGTCTTGGCGGTCCACGAAGAAGAGGTCGACCTCGTCTATGAAGATGATGCAAGGCTGGAGCTTGACGGCCAGTGTAAAGGCGGCCTTCATGTTGTTCTCTGACTCCCCGACCCACTTGCTCTTTACTGCCGCCGGGGAGATGACTATCATGGCCAGCTGCATGGCGTCTGCGATAGCTTCCGCCATGATGGTCTTGCCACATCCGGGCGGCCCGTACAGGAGCAGGCTGGGCACTTGCCCGACCACATGGCTACTGTGGTACAGCTTCAGCGTGGCCGCCGTTAACACATTATCCTCTATAAGTTCCAAGACGCTCTCGTACCCGGATATATTCTGCCAGGGAGACTCTACCCGCTGCGGGTACCGTACGCCGCAGAGCAGGTTGCGCTCGGCGGTCGTCAGCTGCGGGAGATCGTCGTCGTCCGCAGCGGTACTCACGTGCCCGGAGCTCGCCTCACCTCGTCCCACCACGTAGCGGTCGACAATGTCCCTGAGGGCCTGGCCCTTGTCCTCGGCCCCACGGTCACCACGCAGGACCTGCCACACCTCCTGGAGGACCTGGCGGTCACGGAGGAGGGCACCAGAGCCGCCTCCCGGGTCCTCCAGGCCGCGGGCGATCCACTACACCCGCCACCTGGTCGCGGCCTCCTGGGCTACCTGGCGGAGGAGGCCCACCAGGCACACGCCGGCGTTGACGCCCAGGTCGAGGAGCAGGTCCTTCAGGACGACGCCCGCCTGGACGACCAGGCCGTAGAGGAAGGCCAGGATCTTGCGCCTGTCCCGCCAGAGGACGGACAGGGCCCCGAGGACCGCGGCCAGGATGAGCGCCTCCGTCAGGTAGACGGTCACGCGGACGGTCCTCGCGGCTCTGGCCTCCAACACCTCTCTGCTCACCATGTTTGTCGCTTTAATATTTATATTTTATATAGTTTTGATCAATATTTCAACAGTAGAAAACTATGGAGGAGAAGCGCGGGAAGGGAGTTGTTGGCTGGGGCCCCAGTGTCATCCCGGGCCCATATAGCCTCTACCCGGGCCCCCAGTGTCATCTCAGGCCCCCAGTGTTATCATAGGCCCCAAAGTGTCATTACGGGCCCCTATAGCTTCTACCCGGGCCCCCAGTGTCATCCCGGGCCCCCAGTGTCATCCCGGACCCCTAGCATCTACCCGGGACCCCTAGTGTTATCACGGGCCACTAGCCTCTACCCGGGCCCCTATAACATCTACCCGGGCCCCCGGTTTTATCACGGGCCCCTAGCCTCTACCCGGGCCCCTATAACATCTACCCGGGCCCCCGGTGTTATCACAGGCCCCTAGCCTCTACCCGGGGCCCCTATAACATCTACCCGGGCCCCCAGTGTTATCACGAGCCCCTAGCCTCTACCCGGGCCCCTAGCATCTACCCGGGCCCCCAGTGTTATCACGGGCCCCTAGCCTCTACCCGGGCCCCTAGCATCTACCCGGGCCCCCTAGCATCAACGCAGGCTGAACTCCAAGGTGTACTAGCAGCATTACAGGAAGTAGAGGAGCCCTGGAGTCTTGACATAAGAGACGACCAGTACACCAGCACCTTGTGGTGAGTATAGAGACAATGTGAGGACAAAACTGGGTGTAAAGTAAGCTTCGTGTGGAACCCTTCACATGTGGGTGTATTAGTGTGTAGTATGGTGCACGCCTACACCTTAGATCACTGTGTATTAGTGTGTAGTACTGAGCTATGTAACACTGAGCTATGTAGCTCAGAGCTATGTAACACTGAGCTATGTAACACTGAGCTATGTAGTACTGAGCTATGTAGCCCTGATCGAGCTATGTAGCACTTCTTTTCTTCCTGTGAGGAAGAATCATTCGAGGTTGTCAAAAACTAGGTCAGGTCTGGCCTCTCTTCATCCCCCCCTGAGCTCTGGACGACGACTTCAACCGGTGTTTCACCGCGTTGGAGTCAGAAATTTACCTTCCTGATTTACCCGAGTTCCTCTAACACCAGTGACCTCGACGAGGACAGGAAGCTGGCGGCTTGTCGAAGGGCCCCAATGATCGTTATAATGAGTAATATTTACAGGTGTGCTTGGGTCTGCAACTCACCGGCTGCTTCCTACCTGCTGGATACCTGCTTGATGGGGTTCTGGGAGTAGTTCTACTCCCCAAGCCCGGCCCAAGACCAGGCTTGACTTGTGAGAGTTTGGTCCACGAGCTGTTGCTTGGAACGAACCGCAGGCCCACATATCCACCACAGCTCGGTTGGTCCGGCACTCATTGGAGAAAACAATCTACTCTTCTCTTGAAGATGTCCACGGTTGTTCCGGTAATATTTCTTATGCTCGCTGGGAGGATCCTTAAAAGCTCTCAAATGCTCATCCTTAAATGCTCTCAACTCTCTAAGACATAACTGTCACATGCTCGCGTCCGAAGCTAGACACAAATACAACAAAATTATTATGGATGGTAACAGAGTCCATTTCATGTGGTCTCCATCTCATGTTGGCCTCCGAATGCATGATAGAGCTGATAAGTTAGCCAAAGAATCTGCCTTTAAAGGAGCCGTTGAGTGTAACCTTGGATTATCAATGAGCAATCTGAGAGCAGCAGTACACCGAGAACTTCAACAAGATCTTGTAGATCTGAGGCAAAGTGAAATTGACACCAGTAATTCCATCTATCATCATACTATCATGCAAGAGGAGCCACACATCTATGGATCATCCAATAAAATCAGCAGACTTCTAGATAAAACTAGATAAAACTAAAGATGTTACTACTGCTCGGCTTAGACTCGGTTACAAGTATCTCTGGGAATTCTCATTATCTGCCGATGTAGACCTGACCAAATGTAAACTGTGTCAACAAAATTATTCGCACACCCTCCGCCGTCACTATGTGATGGAGTGCGAAAAGATACGTGAATTTAGAGACAATTCTATAACCACTGTTCCAGCGATGTGTAAATATTTCATTCAAAATGATCTACCAGACATTTTAGCCAATTATCCCCAGTTTGCAAACTGTAGGTAGTAACTGAGTGATTGTAACCTATCCACCGCTGTCCACTGGATGGGGGGCAGTGTGCAGGACAAACATATCAATTGTGACACTAGCTCTCCACATATGTCAGTTGCTTAATTTAGAAACTGTACTTGTGGTCGATCTCGAACCCATTGTTAATGTGACGACTTATATTGAATTTTGTAACTAGCTCATCAAGACTGTAACTTGCTTAGCTAAATGAATTGTGGGGTTCAGTCCCTGAGCCCATTATGTGCCTCTGTAACCCTTTCCACTACCGCCCACAAGATGGGTATGGGGTGCATAATAAATGAACTAAACTAAAAACGCTGGGAGGATACCGAACAACGTTTTCCTCTGATGTTTATACAATATTTTCTGTGCCCATGGCACCCCTGCTCTTCACTGGTTCTATTCTGCATTTGCTTCCATATCGTTCACTCCAGTACGTTGTTATTTTACTGTGTAGATTAGGGACCTGGCCCTCCAGCATTTTCCACGTGTATATTATTTTATATATCTCTCGTCTCCTTTGTAGCGAGTATATTTGGAGAGCTTTGAGACGATCCCAATAATTTAGGTGCTTTATCCCGTCTATGTATGCCGTATATGTTCTCTGTATTCCCTCTTTTTCAGCACCCTTTCTTCTGCCCAGTCGAGAACTTTATTAATATCTGCTTGTAGTTTTTCAATGTCTTCAGAAGAGGTAATTTTCATGCTGATTTTTGTGTCATCTAAAAGGATGATACGAAGATGTTACTTGTATTTTTGTCTATATCTGATATGAGAATAAGGAATAGCAGTGGTGCAATGACTGTACCCTGAGGTACAGCGCTTTTAACTTGGACTCTTGTTTTATATAGCGGACTGTTACCCTGTGTTCTGTTCCACAGAAAATTTAGTATTCACCATCATACTTTACCAGTTATTCCCATTGACCTCATTTTGTGCTCTATCACTCCATGGTCACATTTATCAAATGCCTTTGCTAAGTCCGTGTATACCATATCGACATTCTGTTTTTCTTCTAATGCCTCAGTGACTTTGTCGTGGCGGTCAAGTAGCTGTGAGAGGCATGATCTTCCCGCTTTAAATCCATGTTGGCCTGGGTTGAGGAGGTCATTGGTCTCCATGAAACTGGTGACCTGACTCCTGATCACTCTCTCAGGAGTCGTAATCTATCACTCTCACCAGCGTACTCCATAACTTTAAATAAATAAATAAATGTTTATTTAGGTAAGGTACATACATACAAGAGAGTTTACAAAGATTGATCGATTTATAGATAGAGCTAGTACATACAATGCCTAAAGTAAGTAAGTAATTATCAAAAGAAGGCACCAAACCGGGAAGGCTGTGTAGCACCATCAAATGCGCAAAAGAATCGGAGGGCGCTAAATATCACCAAGGATGCCAATACGAGAACAAAAACGCATAAGGCGAACGATATCAAAAGTATCCGAGTCACCAAGAATTCTATTGAGGGACAGGTGACCGCGAGGGACGGTCGGAAAGCAAGACACACGCTCGTCCTGGAAGTCAGGACATTCAAGAAGGACATGCACGACCGTAAGAGGGACAATGCAACTAGGACAATAAGGAGCAGGGCGGCGCTCCATCAAGTGACCATGGGTTAAGCGCGTATGGCCAATACGCAACCTCGCCAGAGCTGTTTCCCACCGCCGGTTACGGTGGAAGGAGGACGGCCACGAGGAAACAACATTTAAGAGTACGTAGCTTGTTACCAGTAACAGACAACCAAGAAGCCTGCCAACGGGTAAGGACTGAGGAATGGATAACCGGGTAAAAGTCGGAATACGAAATGCCTTTACGAGAGACGGGACAAGAGCGGACAGCTTCCTTGGGGGCAGCATCCCCACGCTCATTTAAAGACACACCAATATGGCTGGGAACCCAACAAAACTCAACCGACTTAAATTTACTGTGAACGAGAAACAGCCAATGCTGGATCTCGACAACTACTGGATGAACCGGATTAAAGGACTCGAGAGCCATGAGGGCACTACGAGAGTCAACAACAACTACAAAGGAAGACTGATAACGAGAAAGCAGGAGACGAAGAGCATAGAGAATAGCATAAAGTTCCTCTGTAAAGATGCTAGTCTCCGGAGGCAAGTGACACATATAAGTGCGATCAGGAAAAACAACAGAGTAGCCAACACCGTCCGCTGACTTAGACCCATCGGTGAAGACAGAAACGGAGCGGGAGTAAGAAGAAAAGTGCTCGAGGAAAAGGAGTTTTAGAACCGTAGGAGGGGTTAAAGCTTTAGTGATACGGGTCAAGGATGTACAAAACCGCGGAAGAGGGACCCTCCACGGGGGCAAAGAAAGAACAACACGTGGAGAAACATCAGAAATACGAACGGAAAGAGAATCCTGTAGGCGAGATAACCGGACAGAAAGAGGGAGGTGGTGAAGAGGAACAGGAACCGCAGGAGGGGTAAAAGTTAAAGCATGACAGAGGCGAGAGGAAGGATGTTGCAAGGACCGCGCAAGATAGCGAAGACAGTAGCGATCACGGCGGTCCTGGAGAGACAGGAAGCCAGTGTCAACATACAAGCTAAGGATGGGAGTCGAACGAAAGGCACCAGAACTGAGGCGCAACCCAGTATGGTGCAAAGCATCAAGACGGCGAAGAGTAGAAGGAGAAGCAGACGAGTAAGCAGGGCAACCATAATCGAGCTTAGACAGGACGAGAGAGGAATGTAAAGCAAGGAGAGTGCGCCTATCTGCCCCCCAAGAAGTATGGGACAAGACCCGAAGGAGGGTAAGTGCCTTAGAGCACTCAACACGGAGGTAAGAGATATGGGGAGACCAAGACAAACGAGTGTCAAGGAATAACCCCAAAAGCTTCGCGGAATCTTTGTATTCAA